TATGGTGCTTGCAGGTACTGGGCTGAAGAAAAAAATCCTTTGATCTGTTGTTGTTTTACTCACTGGCAGGACAAAGGCATTGACCTCAGGACTCTCCACCACATGGACACTCCAGGGGACCTGCGACACTTCCAGGATGTCCTTGTTTCTTTGTACCAAGAGCTGCACCGCCTGCTCCACCATCTGGTGAAGAGGGTGAGTGACGGGGAGAAGAAGCTCTGCAAACTCCTCCATGTACTAAAGAACAGAGGAGGTGACAGAGGTTACACAAATACTAGAAATCTGTAAAAATCTATAACCAACTTGAAGAAAAACATAGATTTAACGTTTATCAATGTTCCTCACAGCCTCTGAGGTCAGATCTGCCAGCTCCAAGTACGTCTCTCTGCTGAACACCAGCAGCCGGACCCGTCCCGTCAGTGGGCTCTCATCCAGGTGGGTTAGGAGGAGAAGGGCTACGATCAGTGAGGCAACGCTCCCCCCTGCTGCCAGGTGCCAGCGGTGCCCCTGGACCCATCTGCGCAGTAGCAGTCTGCGGTCGTGTGGTAAAGCTGCCCACCATTTCCTTATACTCCTGCACAGAGAGAGGACACCAGTCTGTCTTCAGGTGTAGCTCCATGCAGTACAACTGCTACACTGCACAGTAACAGTAAAAACAATGACCTGAAGGGCTGAAAAACAAGCTTCCTCTTCAAGAGAAACACAGAAAACATTACATCAATGTGCTGTCAAGAAAAACTTCTAAAATATTCTATGAACACCTTATGTGAATACTAAAATATTGAACTTATGCTTTTTATTAAACACGACAACTGCAGCCTAATGTTTGTAAAATTATGATGCACCGTGATGACATACAGTTTAAAAAAAACACCAGAGGTGGGCAGCGCTAATCCAAAAATTAGCTCCCCAATTTCTAAAGCGCTTATGAAAATATTTAGGTCCACAACTTCAAAAACACTTATGTCATAGAAAAACTAGTGGAAGCTAATTGTAAAGCGCAAGTTCAATTTGACACTTACTAGCTGGCAACAATTCATAATAATAATAA